GAAACTGCATTTTCCTTTTCCGACTTATGAATACGAAGATACCTTATCACTTATATGAAAAACTTATCTTTCCTAAGTCGGAGCGATCATACGACTTAATCTTACCTCTGTACAAATTTAACAATTCCACAAGACTGTTTTTCATTAACGCTATACGAATGTGGAACTCCATTCCTATTAATGTTAGAAGCAAACTTAACAAGAGCAACTTTAAAGCTATTCTGTATACCCACTTCTCTTCAAATTGATGAACCAATCTGTATTTGTAATATTTATCTAGATTACTTTCGATATTTGTTGTTACATTTAATATTCTATTGTTATAATTTGTAATTTGTATGAACCTGTTGTACTAAAGAAGACTAAGTCTTATTGTACTAATGTTTTTTGAAATAAATGAAATGAAATGAAATGAAGTTTTGCAGCGTATTAAATTTTAGTTGATTTTTGGTATTGTTTTTACTGAGAGTTTCTTCCATACAAACTCTGTTCGACAATTCTTTTTATAAGGAAGCACTGTCAGCAAAAAAAATGGCTAAAAATCAACGAAATTTGCTGGAAACTTCAAACTTGCACTTTATTAATTGGTACAAAAGGTATATTTTCAAAATTTTTCTAACAGATCTGATTAGAAATTGTCATTTGATGAAGAGTCTCCGAGCCAATAATTTTGTACGGCACTGTACTTATAAGCACTCTAGGTTTCATGAAAGAAAAAAAATTTTAGTATAAGATAACGTTAAAATATCAGTAAAATTTTTCGTTGCTTTGGACTTGTTTCAAAACTTCTGACTTTTTCTTAATATAATTGTAAAACTCTGTGCACGTCATTTTTAACGTATTTAGGTACATATGTATGTATATTAATCCTCAACTATTGCTTGTACAAAGTTCAACTATCTGAAGATGTAACTATTTTACAAATGAAACCGGTGCACTGAGAGAAAGAAGTTTAGAATTAAAAAAACGTGCTAAATTAAAAAAAAATGCGCATATGAAAGAGCACCAACCCAACTCGTAATAGATTTATTTATTTATTTATTTAACTAAGAAATGAGGTTGTATTTTTAAGACAATTCAGTCTTTTATAATACATCAGCGCGCATTAATTTACAAAATTAGAATCTTAAATCTAACATGAAACAAATAAGTGATAACAATAAATTTAAATACAAAAGCTTATCCTTAAAATTAATATTAAAACTTAACATCAAATAATAGATATTATCACTCCTATAAAGAAACTTAACGATTAAGTATAAAAGAGAAAGGGAGAAAGAAGTAGAGAGAAGAGAAAAGCTGAGTTGCAATCACTTTTATTTCATAGAATTAAAGTGTTCATGCATTATCCTCCCGTAGTTGCCCCTATCCATCGCAGACCTAACACTATGAGGAACGGAATTCCA